TGACAGCTACAACGCTTTTAGCGACTATACCACTAATTACACGGTTATAAAAGCGTGTGGTAGGAAAAAGTTATATCATAACTAACTGAATACTGGAACTTTTTGCAGAAGTTTATAAATTAAGATCACTCACGTATTTTCTGTGCAACATTTTTCACCCTTTCTTACGAATTCGTTTTGTCGAATTTCGTTTTGCTAAGCAGCTCTACAAAAATTAGAAAGCTGCGAGAATTAGCAGGAGTAAAACTTATGACAGTATTATAAAAAAAGAAAACGGTTCGATAATTATTTCGGTTTTACGTGTTTCTGAAAAGACAATATGAACACAATAACTAACATTTTCCTTCTATTAACTTAAAATGTTGTAGCTATAGCCTCACAAGTTCGGCAATTCGTTAACCATTGAAAAAAAAATGTTATTCGTGCTTATTTATTCTTGGTGACAGTCAGAGTCATCTCAGTTGATTTCCGGTTTGGCTGCAGGTGTTTAAGAAAACACTATTGACGCTAAACTTGGTTTATTGTCGTGAATGTTCCTCTTGCAAGCAATGTTATAATCGAGCTTTGTGCAAGGTTAGTAACCTGGTATCAGCAGTTTTTCTCTAGTTTAAATATCTTGCCCAAGCAAAGGAAGTCTTGGATAGAGTACATAAAAGTATATCAAAGTGTATAAAGTTATTTCCTCCTTGTGGCAATGCGATAACATAACAGTGAAATAAATTATATTCTAATTCGCTACCCCGCTCAAACGAATATAAAACATATATCATGTAACAAGCAGCCTCAGTTGGGGTTTGGTTTCAACACGAGCCGTAAGCGACCCTCTTCATTATGCCTTCATCAACAAAATGGATGGAAATAATACAACAAACAGAATGAAAATTCGGGAATGCAAAAAAAATTACAGCAGGAAAAACAACCCTACAAAATGATCTAAACTATGCTCGTATAACAATGATTCAGTAAACATACAAAACGTGCTAAACCTTTTATACAGCAGTATAAAAAAAAACTGCGTCTAAGAGAAACCCCTGGTCATTGGGTATTTAATTTTGAGGGCATAGGGACGGTCGTAAGACGCGAATGAATATAAAAGAAAACAACTCAAATATATATAGCCTACCGCTAATTACATAACCCAGACAACCCATGATAAATACATTTCCATTTACTAGAACATTCAGTCTTTTTATAAGAACACTTTTTTAAAGTTAGCTGAACTCGGAAAAACGCATAACTTCGTGAATTCTGCGCCTTTTGCATTGTCTGAGCCATGTTGTTTGACACCCTAAAGAAAAGGTTACATAACCCATGATAAATACATTTATATTCTAGTTCGCTATCCCGCTCAAACGAATATAAAACATATATCATGTAACAAGCAACTTCAATTGGGGTGTGTCAACACGAGCCGTGTACGAACTAAAAGAACGAGAAATACGGAAAATTAAATACCCAGTGATAACGAAACCGACAACAATGAATGAACATTATCCCGTTAATGTAGCCGTCTTTTGCCTTGTCTGATTTCCAACGGCCGCGTCTTTTAAACAATCTGTCAGGCACTCGGGCATTAGCAGCACCGGAGGCACCTCCAGCTCTAAGGCTATGGAGACCGTAGTCTTGCTTGGGAAGGCCGATGGAATCGAAAGTACTAAGCACTATTTCCCGCGCTCTAGTATAAGACAAAGGAACAGACCCGCGCATTTTGTAAGCTCCGGTTCCGCGAAGGAAAACAAAAGGGCGAAAAATGAACTCTTCGCTGTCTGCTGAAAAAGAAGCAGCAACAAAATATCGTTGAACTAATAAATAAGGACATGTATGCTTGAAAGTTTTAGCGATAACAACCCAACCCGAGGGGAGATCTTGAACCAGTGCCCGGAGTCACCTGTCTTCAACCTGTTGAAAATTTGGCTGCAAGGCATCTTTGAGAACTTCTACGAGGATAAGAACAAAAATACATGGCAAAATTCTTCCATACACCTACTGGAAGTCAATACAGATCAGGGTGTAATAAGCTAGGGCGTTGAAACGCTCATACGCACTCTCTGGTTCAGCTGTGATGCGGAGTAGGACTAGAACTAGTTGGCCTTTCCGCTCTCGATCGGCTGTCAGGGGAAGAAAAATGGCCCCGTATAGCTGAAGGTAGGTCGCATTTATTGCTTTATATCTTTAGATCGCTGCAATCTATAATTAGATTTGATATTTGGCGTATTTCTATGCAATATACAGAAAATATTAAGGGGATATTTTATAGTTAGTCTTATAATTATAAGTTAAGGTGTTTTTTCGCCTTTTATGTTTATGTAGTGTCAATATGGCCTATCGAATATTACAGGTTGAAGGTCGCGTTTTATCTTGCCAGTCAAAACCAAATGATAATAAACGGCTGCAAAAAAAAATATGTAATGGTTTTATAAATTTTGTTTGTGCATGCAAATTTTTAGAGGAAACTTTTATGAACCTTTAAGGCTGTTTTACTTCTGAAGTGACGACTTCCTAATGGCGATAGCAAGGGTTTTGTTTTGTACGTTGGCGTTTAGCTTGTTAGTAAAATAAAAGATTTCAGTTGCCTAATTTAGCGATTTTTCTTTTTTTAATATACACTAAGGTGGTAAATAAATGTTTTTTTGGTTACAGAGCCGCGATCCAAGAAGATTCTGACTATTTTTAAAGTTCTACTAGAAAATTGCATTCGAATGATCTGGCGTGACAGTCTACATATATTAAACAACAACAAATTCTGCTTCACTGCGGTATAAAATTTAAAGCTTGTATTGCACAGAACCAGAATGCTTTCAAATCCCCAAAAAGATTCCACTGTAAAATTAAATCATAGATTGTGTTTGTTATTATGATTTTTCAGGACAACAGTGACTGCCCGGCCTGAAAAGACTACCAGAACACACATTGAAAGATAAGCGAGTTCATAATACCGTGAATATGAGGATGAACATGAAGCTCGAGCTTTTAATTTGATTGCAAGCAGAATAAATTAAGACTAGCTACTGTGTAACATTGTATTTTTATCGTCAGAGGCTTACGACTGGTGTTGCACAAACTACAGTCAGCTCTCAGATGGAAACTATTGGGACTGGCACAAAATGTCTCCATTAATGGACAAGTGTAACTCTTATAGAGAGTAAAAGAAAATGACTAAAGAATAGTAGGGACCAACTCGATTTCCTGGTGGTGCCTTATCTTTTGATTGTACTACTGTATAATATTTCTAGCATTGTATCCTCTCTCTTAATATTATATATTGTAGACAAGGAAACAGGAAAGTATTTTTTTGAATCAAGTTTGATTAAGCCTGGCTGCAGGTAATAAACTTAACCAAGAATGAAATTGGATAATACTGGACATGAAGTATACAAGTGTGCTAGGGTTGCCGGTCACACGAAAAAGTTTGCTTTTCAATGGTTAAATAACTGTTACAGGCCATTTGTATTTCATTTGTGCATAATTCTGTATAATTTTCTTGTTTGCAATATACTTTAGAATTTGTATGTTATATAAATGTTTTATGTTGTATCTGTAAGATATATATATGGCAATGTCTGGTTGCAATGTAAGACTAGTGAATGTTTAGTTTCTTTTAAGCTCCTTAGTCTGTTTTGGATGGGTAGTTTTCAGTGACCATTTCATCACAGAAAGCTGTTATTATCAAACAAAAATATTTGCTGGGCTACTTATTTGTGTTCGTGGGACCCCTTTGTTAGTTTTTCAAGGGCAGTGAATTATATTTTTTTTCACATACTTATTCTTCATTGCACTGTCGTATTAGTGTACAAGATAAAAAATAATGATGATTTTATTATATTTTCAATTTACCCAGACTTTAGTTTTCACAATCTGTCCAATGCTCAACATTAGAGATAGCTCAATAAGGTGTTTAGAGAAGAATAGTGATGTGCACCAACAAATCCAAACTTTAATAGTAACAAAAAAATCATGATCATCTGGCCTTGAAACTGGGGAGCAAAAAAATAAATGCCATAGCAGATGATGAACGACACAACTTGATATCAAACTGAAGCAGAGAACCGATAATATTAGCCTAAAAATGATGTCAGTGCTATCATCTGAGTTGTGATGCCATTTTCTTACCAAGTCACGAAATTTTGATACAGGTCACGAAGGTGGAACTATATTGAATACAGATATTTGTTCGCGGGCGAAAAATTGAACAAAACAGAAAACGAACGTGAGAAAAAAATAACTTGTTCCTTCGCTATTGCTTGTAGCAAATGAATGCCACGGGATAATGGCTAACTTTCGCTGGATAATCTCTATGACGGTCCAGCATAATGTCTGTCATCTTGTTTTGTCTCTTTGGTAGTACCGAGACCCTTGCATCACAGCTAGTTCGCTCGACCCCGCTCGTTTCAGCGGCCTAGCTTATTACGCCCTGATACGGATAAAAAATGGACGCTTGATAATGCCGCTGACCGGATGCAAAACTATTTAAGGCCATATGGGCCAACTCAAAAACGTAGGTAAACAAGCCACTCGGCGAGCTAGTTTCATGCGAAACAAGAACAAATGAACTGACGAGCGAAATGAAAAACGCGTGGGTCAACATAAAGCCACTCGGCGTGAAAGAACTAAAGCCCCTTGGCGCCAGTTCTGACTGCCAGGACCGCGCTGTTAAACCTGTCTGAACCAATGAGTGAATCTTTGTAACGCCCGAGGGAAAAAATCCCTGCGGGGTCGGGAAAATTAATGTACGCGGGGACGTACGGTTGGAATTGAATTGCATTCGCGAACAAGAAAGGCCAAAACACATTAGACGGCCAATAAGGGACGACTCAAGTACCAACCGCACCGCGTAAAAGGAGATGCTGAACCGCCCCAGTAATGCAGTGGACGGGAGGGACTAGTCAATTATTCTCTCCATTGCACGAGATTGAAAATGCGTCAACAGCTTCAGTGCCGGGTACGCGAAACCTAGAATTAAATCTGGGAAGATGGGCGTTGGCAGCATTCGCAAACCTGTCGACTGTATGTTGGCCCCAAAGGCGGTCCAAGTGTGCGAAGAACTCGGCGGTTGTATACCAGTCATCGAAGTCTACAATGTGGCTAATCGCATCAGCACAAGCATTACGTTCCCTGGGAACCCACTGGGGAATAAGTGTAATATTGTAAGTTTGACAAAAATAGAAATATCAAGCGCAATATAATGCAATCCTGCACTAGGGCTCCCTATCTCCACAGCACGAACGGTCCCTTTGGCTGTCAGAATGCTACTTTACACTCTTACCCAGAACCAAGGCTTTGAATGCACTTAAGGCAAATTGTGTATCCTTAAGTTCTCTTCAGGTAGAGCTCTTAGCTGCTTCACCAGCAGTCCACATACGATGGGACACCTCATTAGTGCCCACAACAAAAGCCCCGTTGCTAGCGTCCGTATAGTTAAACAAAAGGGGAGGATAATAAGGCAAAATAGGTCTCTTATTAAGACTAACGATATTGTTTTTCCAGAAAAATATTTCAGAGAGGCAATCATTATGAAGCCCGATATTAAAACGGGAATCCCAACTATGGCGGGATTCTATGACCTCCTAAAGAAAACGGGTTTTGAGGCGAGTCAGGTTACCCACTCACTGGCTACATGGACCAGGGGCACCCAACGAGGATATAGTTCAAAACCACTTAACATAGCATTGTTGAACGTATTTTAGCATTCAAACGGTAGATATAGGCATATTTTTATCCCCTAAAATTTTTTCATCTGTTCGGATCTCCTAGCTGAAAATCTAGTGATCCGAAAATTATAGGGATAGAAACTTACCTTCTCGAAAATTTCAGCCAGGAAAAGGCTCCCGAAAATTATAGGTGGCCTTTTTTAGTTCCAAAATCCGTTAAAAATGAGTAATTATACCATTTTGTAGATGTTCGAAAATCCTAGGAGAGGCGGGCAAGCAAGAAATTTTACAACAAATGATCCGAAAATTCTAGATCTCAAATCGTCTTCCGAACAGATATTTTCCCGAAAATTGCCTTTGGGTGCCCCTGATGGACATAACATGACCTGCGATAACGGCACAATCCCGAGCCGTAACATAAGGTGCGGATAGAAGAAATTTGTCAATCAGAACGATAAATTCGGAAATACGTCTGTCGGTAATAGAAATGGTACCGGTAACTAAGTCCCAGTTTAAACCCAACCAAACAAGCAAAAGGGTGGGGCTCCATAGTGATTTGGCGGAGTTGGCAACAAACCCTGCACTGCTTAAGGATGATTGCACAAACAATGAATTTTCCTTGGCCATAGGCAGTGAATCCCCTTTTCCGCACCCATCGTCGAGGAACACAACAATTTTAATCCCGTTAGACCTCCAACACTTAACGAGTGCTCTAAGACACTTGGTGAAGACGTATGGAGCTGAGCTAAGATCGAACGGAAGTGATGCAAAACAAAAATACCGAACGGCACCAGAAAAAAACCAGGAGAACCCAGAAAAGTTTGGTGATCCGGAAAAATATCGATATGGTGATACCCAGACTTGAGATCGAAACTGAAAAGGTAATCGCCCTTATTAACATATGATAATAAAACTCTCCAATCTTCACACCCAAACTTCTGTTTCCAAATGAAATGATTGACATGACGTAAGTCCAGAATAAGCCTCTTCTTGCCTGAAGACTGTATCGAGACAGTTCTGTGGTCCTATTTAACTCCAATGCCCGAAAGACCAAAAGAACTAGGAAAGGACGGCCCGGAGCTTGAAGATCTGGCTTGAGGATTAACTTGACACAGAGACCTCCAATGACTTTGCTGGCCGCATGCGAAACAAATATCACTTGGTCTTGGTTTGCTGAAAGCGCCAAGAGTACAAGAAATAGGTCTGGAGGATGATGAATGTTGGGCAAAAAACGCAGTGGTTGCGGTGGATGATTGGAGTTGTGAATAACCTTGCTTGGATGGCTTCACTTTCTGTTGGCGTTGGCTGCGTTTACGAAGGGCCCTCTGCTCGACGTCTGACCCGCTAGCCAGTTCGTCAGATAAATACTCGTTCACCAAATCCCAACCGGCGGCGGACTTGTCTTTCAGTCTGATACGTTTGTTGCGCTTCTTGATGTCAGATTCTAGTTCTTCCACGTGATCATGAGTTTTAACAAGGTCTAATTTTCTCTTTCCGAGGGCAGCTGACGCCGACTTTACTTTCGCTGCAAGGTCGGAGTTGAATTGAAACTGTTTCTTATTACCTTCGAATCTAAATGTGATCTTATATTCTTCTTTGAACTTTTTGGCTACAGAATCGGTATTACTGCACAACTCGTCTTGAATATCGCGCTTCAAGGCGCCCAACTTCTTGTCGAAATAATCCTTAAACAGAGAGAACGCGGAAGCTATATCACTGGATTCTGAAGACTGGATTGGTACTGAAGCTTCGAGTGATTGAGACAAGATAGAGGGTTGTTTAGGAAGCGAAGGGAACAAATTAAACGTCGCTGCTACGAAAATCTGTGTTCGCTAAGCTAACGTCTTCAACATCAGGCATAATTTTGAGGGCGTAGGGACGGTCTTAAGACGCGAATGAATATAAATGAGAGCAACTCAAATATATATAGCCTCCCGCTAATGAAGCAATAGAACAGCATACCATGTAACACCGCAAAGAAATGGTGATAACCGATGATAAATACATTTCCGTTCACTAGAACATTTAGTCTTTTTATAAAAACATTTTTTTAAAGCTAGCTGAACTCGGAAAAACGCATAACTTCGTGAATTCTGCGCGTTTTGCATTGTCTGAGCCATGTTGTTTGACTGATGATTCAAACAGGAGAACTTTTTGTTGCGCTCAACTCAATAAGTAGATGAACACAAAGGAAATCTCAACGCACAGCTTAAAACGCAAAATAACGTTGTTTAAAATAACTAGAGACCCCTTTAGCATATTTTGAATGCAGCAGAAATTCTTATTTGGGAATTAATCAAGAGGTAAAAAAAATAAATTCCCGTCGTTTTTTTTTTGTGTGTGTCATATTTTCCGGTTCTGTGTCTTAATGTCACGTTAAAAATTTGTTGAACCTTATTCAAACGTATCGAAAATGAAATTCCTTTATATCAACCTAACTGGTGACAAAAAAACATTTTTGATAAAATCAAGAACTCTTTACAGAATTGTTAGCTGGGTTTAACATAAGGATAAAGGTTTACGAAAAAAGAGACATTTTCTGTTTGCTTCTTTCCATCTCTATTTTCGCTTTTAGAAACTAAATGTTTTTTTTTTTCTGACGGAAGAGACCATTCCAGAAAGTATAAGAGACCTACCTTTGAATAATACAGAGTTTAACCAAAGTATGTTTTCCAATAAACTCGGTGCAATGTCTGTTTACAAATTTAAAATGATTATTAAACTGCCAATAGGGTGACTAGGATGTCCACCTGGTACAGTGCACCCTTACCACAAAGCCTGGGCACGCGATCAACCTGAACTTGTAAGCAACAGGCGCTACCCCCACGTGTGGGACTAGAACTAATCGATCAATAAAGTTCTGCAGATACCAGCAGTTCAGAATGAAAACACCTCAAGCTTGAGATCCTGTGTCGACACTTTGCCCAACATTGTGAGAACGTTGAAGACCTTGAAGCAGATTTGCGATCAGCAGCTAATATGCAGCAGATTATTAAAAAACTGCCTCCGAAAATTGCTGTAAGGCGTAGCACGCGAAAGTCAGAGCTGCAGATAAAGGATAGCCTGCAGTGCAGGCGTTTTCTTTGAGCGCGCAATTTGCTCGCGAAAGCGCGATGTTGAAACTTCCCGAAGAGAGGAGGAGATAGGGCGAGTCAAAGGGAGCGGGGAGGGAGTGGGGAGAGAGAAGAGAAAACGCCTGCCCGAAAACACTGTGAAAATGAGAAACACCCCCTAATTAGACGCGCGTGACGGCTCTTCCGGAAATGAGTAGCCGACAATAACAAAAAAACCAAACAGTCGCTCCACTCCAAAGACTCGCATTGTCTTAAGAAAAACAAGCTGGAGTTTATCCTTGTTTTTATCTTGACCGAGTCACAATGCAATTCTCCACAGCTGATGAAGCTTCAGTTTAAGCTGCAATTCATTCTTCTAAATTCATCGCTGTAAATCGCTATCCGTGAGAGTTTAACATCCTACAAACAATTTAAAAAACTAACGAGCTGGGCCCAGCGTGATACAACATTGCAGGAAAACATCACATTCTCGGACTAATAAGAAAATCGATTAGTTATTCAGATCCTGAGACACTTTGGACAAAAATAAAGAATCTAACAGCCTCATTAAGCGAAAAAAGAGCGTTACGCTTCAAAAGAGGTTAAAGAAAACGTCTGGCATTAGAGGGCAAATCATGAAGACCAGAAACACCACAGAAAATCAATAAGCGTGTCTTGACCTCTCAGTGTGAAACAAGCGGCTAAAATCACATTTGCTCTGTCAAAACGGAGAACCCTCTAGAGAGCATCTACTCGCCTGAAAAAAAAAAAACGTATTGGAACAAGCAGCATTTTGGCATGAGGTAAAAGTGGTGTAGGTACTGCGAACAAATCTTGTCCTGATGACCAGTGTAAAAATCGCTTTGACTTTCTCATTGCGTAATACACGCGACATTCCCAGCCGCTCCAATTCCAAAAGACTGACGGAAACGGAATAAAAAATATAGACTTACAGTCAATTGACAGGCATCAATCTACTTCCCTTACCGCACCAATCAGGAGCTCCGTTTGCCAGCGTACGGAGTTTCCCAAAAGAACAATGATATCGGGCAGGCGTATTTTTTTTCTCCCCTCCCCCTCCCCCCTTTCCTTCTTTCGCCCTAGCTCCTACCGTAAGGGTTACTACTTCTACTCTCCCCAATCTTCCACTGTCATAAAATCAAAGATGGCGGCTACAACAATATTACGAACACGAACAAGGTTTCGTCCACCCAAAATACGCCTGTACTGCAGGCTAGATAAAGGAATTTGTCCTTACCGACCTACATGTTGATGAGTGGCTGGAAACAGAGAATCAGGTCCAAGAGATGGCTATTGGTTGTGGCAGTACTAAAGCAAATCCTGGCCAAAACAAAACCAAGTCAAATTCAAACAAATCAGAGTGGTTCAAGGAAACATACAAAACGGGATGCGTGTAACGAGATTCGTGCAAATTCAGGAGCTAGAGTGGAATGTTTTGTGTGCAAAGACATCAAATGTGCATTAACGATGGTAATTGGCGAAGAAGTTGGGTTTGTGCTTTTGGTGCCTCAAAAGAGAACATTGAGCTTAACGGTGCTCATTGTAAGGGAGTGAGGAACGTATCCAGTAGAAGGGTGGGTGCGACGACACCACTTACATCTTCATGCAGCCATAGAGCCATCGCAGTTAGACATTTTAACCCCCCAAGAAGCTACAGGAGACACGTCAACAAATGGGGAAAGCTAATCGCAGAATCTGTGGAGTGCCTGAAGAAGCTGCGAGTGCACCTCGAAACCCTGAAAAGGTTGCCTTGAAAATGGTACCCGTTGTATTGGACGGAGAAAATGGGATAATGATCAAAGCAAGCGCCTTTCTTGGTTCTCCTGGGTCGTCCTACCTTAAAGAGCAGATCTTTGATTTATTGAGCTCGGACGCTGAGAGTAGACCACTGCGTTTTGCTGTTTTTGGAGCGGGGTCGATTGTGACGGATAGGAAAACTGTCACTGTGTGCCTATAGATTATGCATGGAAGCGTTAAGAAGCACTTGTTTCTATGGATAACCCCGAAAATTTCTGAAATAACTGTAGTTGCATGATTTGCCTCCTAATGCAAGGAAGCTAAATCATCTTTGCGATTTGGAGTTCATAACGCAAGTTGAACATGGATAAGTTGATTTATTTGTTGGAAGTGATTATTTTGAGAAACTGCTTTTACCACTTGAATTTGGCATCGGAAAGCCGTAGGAGCCTGTAGGGGTTGACACCCATCGGATGGACATTCGTTGGACATATCTTGGAAGTAGCAAACGAGTGTCCGCTGCGAACCACGTCTACACATTCCATGCATCCTTGAGGGCCAGTGAGTTCATACGGAAGATGTGGGATGACTAAGTTGTGTAATCACTTATCGAAACAAGCCCTTGACAAAAAAAGAGGTGCTTGGTGCGCGCAAAACGGCAGAGTCAACGCGCTGTGCTGAGGGGCGCTATGAGATGGCTATTCCATGGAAGGACAATGAGCCGCCGCTGCAGTGCATCAAAACGACCAGTTAAGAGCGAATTAAACTTGGCCATGACTGCTTCTCAGAATGGGGTGTTGTACCGGCGGGGGTTCCCCAAGGCACAAAAATTTGGGGCCAAATGGCTGTCCATCATGATGATCAACGAGCTTGATGTTCCTGCCAACGATCTCTGGAAATACGTCGACGATACGACCATCTCGGAGACAATAAGCAAGAACCAAGACAGTCACATCCAGGCCGCCTTCGACACCCTGGTCAACCCGCGCTTCCTTGGAAAAGTTTCAACTAAAATGCAAGGAACTGTGCATAAACTTTAGCACTAAGAATACTACGTCTTTCAACCCCGTTGTAGTTGACGGCATGCCTATCGAATTAGTTGCCACTGCCAAAATACTAGGCCTCAATGTCTCTAGTGATTTGAAATGGAACTCTCACATTGACTCCATTATCAAGAATGCTCAGAAGCACCTGTATAGTTTCGATTGCTTTTTATCATGTCGATTTCGTTTTTTTTAATCTTTTTTTTTTTAACAAATCACAATTTTACTGTAGTGTATTCATGTATTGTTTGTCGGTTATTCGCTTCTTTCGCTTTTCTTTATAGATTAGCTTATTAGTGGTAATCATAATTATTTGTAAATAATCGCCTAATTCAACCTCCTGGTTGCAATGTGACTATAAATAAACCATCTATCTATCTATCTATCTATCTATCTATCTATGGAAAGCCAATAAGGAAGTCGTTTTCTGGATAAAGGATTAGTCGAGGAATTACAAGAATTTTGTCGCCAACCGAGTCTCGGAGATTCTAGCCTCAGACAGTGGTGACACGCTCCAGCTAATTTTAATTGTGCAAATGACATGACTCCAGTGCCACACTCGAAGGTGAGAAGTGAGCATCGCTGGTTATTGCACCTGAGTTCCTGTGTGAACATAAGGCTGAATGGTCTTAAAGAAAACGTGTAGTGTATAAGGAGCGTTCAGAAGAGTGTCTTGCTCATACCTTTGTCTTAGAGGTTTCACAACCATTGATGAATCCAACCGAAGTACACCAGGCAAACCTTTGGGTGATGAGAATTGGAGCGAAGTTATATTGACTCAAGGTAAAATAGACATAGCTAGTTGGAAAGCTGGGAGGACAACTATTACCT